AAAAAAAAAAAAAAAAAAAAAAAAGACTGAACGCAACTGGCAAAAAATGATCGCCCATGCTGCAGGCATAAGCTCCAACAGGTTTTTGTATTCTTTGCTTTGGAAAACAGTAAATCTGCATGAAAATCTAAACAAACCTTGGCCTTTTCCTCAGACATCATGTGCAGTTCCTGTTCTCCCATCCAGGCTTCTGCCTCTGCTGCATCAGCATAAAACTGCTGCGCTGCATGGGACTCCTCTAGACGTGCATGCCTCTTTCCTGCCTCAGTGCCAAGCTCTTCCCATGTGCTCCGTAACAACTCTAATCTCTCTCCTATCTCCTGAGCATCTAGAGAACTGTTCTTCACCATAGATTTCTCTCTTTCCAAGATATCATCAATTCGAGGCTGGTGTCCTTGAATTTCCTTTTGCAGTGTCTGTTGGAGGAGGAGGAATGAACAAAAACAAAATCTACGTTAGTACTGTGCATCATGTTAAGCCTAGGCCCAGCAGACAAATCCTATCCTTAGATCTCATTATATGTTAAGGTTTGTGAAACAAGCAGTCATTGAGCAGTTGTGTAAGTTGGCCAACACCCAGCAACACTATAATGTCAAAGGAAAAATGTAATCTCCATTGCATAGCAGTGGTATAACTTACATGGTCCATTTCCATTTAACACCAAACTGACCCTTCCTCCTTTTTTTGTTTTAAAGATAAACCTTAGTGCGAGGAGACATTTTACAGTTGACATCTACTAGGATAAGAACTATTTGGCTTCTCAATGTGTCAAACATACCTTGCCGAACTGATGTTGGATGCTAGGGCTCAGACCCTCATCAGTATACTTTTGTTCTATGCTAAGAAGGCCATCCTTTTGGTATGGGGCAGGCCTACGGCTCCCTCCCCAAGTTGCTGGAAAAAACTGGTCAATCAGTCTCTACCTCTTTACAAGCTTACCTATGCGCAGAGGGGTAGCCCAGACCGATTTGAACGTATCTGGGGACCATGGCTCTCCTCTCTACTGCTACAACAACTGTTCTTGCATAATTGTACTTCGTGCTCTAGTATAAGGCCTGGAGCTCCGTGTTCTTCTACTGGCTCCCCATGTTCAGTGTGCAATGGTGTGTAGCCGTGCATTTCCTATGCCTGTATTGAGACTGTAATTTATCTTTGTACTGAGATTGTAAACTCATTGTGATCTTTTTCTTTGTTTTAGGTCATTGGGTATGTTGCCCGGGTTTTCCCTTTTTGGGACCTGTTTTGTAACTTTTTGCTAACTTGATAACCTAATAAAAAGCATCTTAAAAAAAAAAACAAAAGAACCTTGACAGATGTTTGTAACAAATGTAACGTTTGAGATAAACGCATGTAGAAGATTTTATGTGTCATATCTATGATTTACATGATCACAAAAACAAAATCCCGTAAAAAAAAAAAAAAATCCTGTAAAAGGCAATATTGCTTAAAGAGCAAACACAGATTAACAGAGAACAATCCCACCTGATGGGATTTAGTAAAAAACACCAGGAGTTATGGACAAAATATTTACTGTAGGTCATGTTCTATGACTGTGGTATTATATAACGTTTGCTTGCTCTCCATTACATCTCCATAGTTTATTAACTGTTTAGCCCTGCCTAATTCTTTCTCTGTAGCATTCATTTTGTGTAACAATTTTTCTATTACCACATACCTCTCCTTCATGCTGCTGGAAAATCAATGCTGCTTACCTACCTCAGCCTTACATCTAAAACAGGGGCGCTCACAATTTTTCGTCTGGGGATATACTTTTCAAATAATGAGCTCAATGAGATCTACCAACGAAAAAACACCGACATTCAGGGGCGTGGTGGTGCATTTAAGTCAATGGCATCACAGCCACGCCCCCCGCAGTGTGATCGCCAGTGCGATCTGCAAAAATGCTGCAATTTCAATGCACCACCATGCCCCATCCCACCCTTGACCGCCTTGCGTTCCAGTGCGTTCTAGAGGCCGAACACTCTGGAACTCAGACTTTGTGGTTTGAACAGGCCTTCTCTGTTGGCTGTCTTTTCTCTCTTCTGTTTCTATCTGCTGTCCCTTCTCTCACTTACTATGCTGTCTCTCTTCTCTCTGCTGTCTTCTCTCCTCGCTCACTTTCTCTGGTGTCTCTCTCCTGTGTCTTTTCTTACCTCCACTGCAGTAGCTTCCCAGGTCTCCTCTCATGTGTCGGCGTCCTGTCCTCCCGTGGTGCTCGTGTGGCCGACATTGCACACGGGGAGAGGTGTCCCGCCCCTTCCCGTCTGCGGCGTCTTGATACATTTAACCGCACGAGCACCGCGGGAGGACAGGGCACAGGTCAGTGAGCCAATCGCGATCTACCAGTGTTCGCTTTGCGATCGACTGGTAGATCACGGTCGACCTAAAGGGCACCCATGATCTAAAAGATCTTGAGACAAATAAACCTGTAAGTTGCAGTCGAGTAAAACAATCTGGAAAAGTTGTGTGGGATGAATGTCACTTCAGGGCAGACACCCTCCTTTTGAAACTACATTCATAGCCTCTGCAGCCAGTCCAGAATTCTGTAGTATTTGTTGGAGCTGATAAAATTAATATCTATGTAAAAGCTTTGATATAAAAGGTGTTCCTTGAAATGCACAGCATGTGGCTATGTGATACACACATGAAGATCATCAAATGGTTCTTGGGACAGGGACACTGATGAATGAAGATCTGCCTGAGAGTCATTATCGAGCCAGACCCCCAGCTGGCATTTACTGGCCACACCTGTGTCAGCAATGCAGCATACATGCTGGGATGGGGGCAGGGGCATATGATGGACCCTTCTTCCTATGTGTTCTGCACAAACCTAGCTTACAAGCAGGAACAATAGTAACCTTTGTGACCTCTGGGGCAAGGCTGGACTCTACCATCAAGAATGTGATTCGCTGAGATCTGCTGGAAAGGAGTGGTCTGAGCACAGAGAAAAGGCAATGGCATGTGTGAATGAGAGAGAGAATGATGATGCTAGCTGAAGGATCCTAACCTCAATTCCTATCCCTACTAACCCCCTCCAAATCCCCTCTCCATTTCCCTTAATTGTAATTAGACTGTATGTACAGACATTCCTAGGTTACTGACTTACCTGCTTTGCGACCACTCGCACTTACGACAGACCACCGATCGACCTCCGACCTTGTGTCAGTGCGACATGTCGCCGGCGGAAGTGATGTCCTCCGATCTTCACTGCAGGTCCCGGTAAGTATTTTCATTGCCCGATGTACACTGCCCGATGTACACTGTTCGGTACTGTACATCTGCAACGCTATACAGAACTCTACTAATGAAGTACAGTACTGTATAGAGTTCCTCAATTAACGACCAATTCGTTTAACGACCTGTTCGTAGGAACGGAACTCGGTCGTTAAGTGAGGAATACCTGTACATCCCTATTTGTAGGGATATAGTAGTTGCCCATCAGTAATTTAAGGCACCCCCAAAGCTGAGCACATTCTACAGTATTGTTTACAGTTACCCATGTACCACCAAGGTTTTTGTATTGTACCTCACCTGGTTTTTCTTTATAAGAAGTTGTACAGTTGGAAGATCTTTTCCATGCTCTGTAGATATGGCCATCGGCATTCTCATCTTCCAAATCCCTGTTAAACTGGTGACCCTCCTTAGAAGCCAACAACAACTTCCTTCGATCATTGAGTGGCGCACGCAGTGTCAAGAATTTGTCTTCTACCATCTTGTGCTTAGAGTCAACTTCTACTATGTTGGCATCTTCCTGACCCAAAGCTTGGGCCTGACTCTGGATAGCCTCCAGCTCCTTCTCCCTCACTTCCATCTGATTCTCCAGCATCTAAAAGCATACACAGACAGAGCTTACAATTTCATACACCCTCCTCCAAAACCACTACCAGTTAAAACTTGAATTCAAAATAAAGCATGTTCTCTGCACATTCACTGGGTAAAATCTGAGGCAGTTAAACAGTGTGATCACAATTGCTACGATTCATAATCTTCCATGCAAAATGGCTAAAACTCCAAAATGCATACTGGAAACTTCCCCAGGTTTAAAAAAAAACAAACAAAAAACTGTACCTGTTGCTTGTTGAGTAGAATGTTTACACTAGTAAGATCTTTCCCATAATCATCTGAATGAAGTTGCCCCTGGAGATTTTGTAACCAACTTTCGAGCGCAGAGCAGCTTTGTGTGAACAATTCTGCCCTGTTGGCATCGAAAAGGCATTGTGCTTTACTCTGTGTAGTGGATTCCAAGTCATTCCATAGGCTATGAAGGGCATCCAACTTCTCTCTCACCACTGGTTCCAGTTCTGGCTTTTCTGCAATGAGCTCTTGCCCTTCCTGAGATGGAAAACAAGGAGAAAACATTAACAGTGGAGAGGTTTAAAATTTAAATTTTGCAAGTATGGTTCACATTATATTGTGGCCTTATTTCTATTAGTGATATTAACAGTAAGTACTCCTCTAGATTTAACATTTTTTTGCAGCTTAGAAGCTTTAAATGTGATGCAAATAAGGTCACTGCAAGCAATGGGTTATCTTATGTCATTAAGCATGAATCTACTTTTGCAATATACTTTTATTTCACCTCGTCTATTTTGTCTAGCCAGTCCTTATTTGATGCCAGTTCAGCCATAAATGCTTGGTGCTTTTGCCACTTGCTGTGCAGATTACGGGCTTCATCATAAGAGACATCTTGAGCAGTCAACATCTTCTCATTGATCCACAAAGTAAGCTGGGAAAAGACAACACCCACACTTAATACATAACAGCACTACATCTATAAACATACTACTCGGGTGTTTTCAGTTTTAGCAAAACCTTTAAAAGGAAAGAAAGCAAACTAACTTCTTGACAGTTCTGAAGAAAGTGCTGGAGGTCACGATTATCCTTCAGGCGAGTTAAAACTTCAACAGCTGTTGCTCTGTTTTTCTTGTGTCTAAAAATAAATACGCAATTTCTTATAAAATTTACAAAAATAAAACTATCAAGGTTAAGGCATTATAATTTTGCAAAATGCCTGCAACCTAATATCAATACGTTTAAAATTCTTATGTGAAGGATAAATACTGGAAAGTCATGCCTACCTTTCTTCAATGGATGTGACCTTCTCCTGAATCTTCTCAGAGTTAACATTTTGCTCTTGGATAAGTTTCTTCCCCGACTCCACAAGCCCTCGGATCTTTTCATCATTAGCATCCATGGTGGTCATGAAGTCCTCATGACGTTTTATTGCAGCTTCAGCTGCCTGAAGGGTTGTTGGCATTTCTATGTGGGATAACACATATTCCTAAAAAAGATAAACAAGTTGTAGATGTTCATAATCAATATGGGCTTATTCATAAAGCTAAAAGAGCATGTTTGACACAGTCAGTGCATGCATTAAAGAATTCCATTGCATTTTTAGGATTAACACCCTAATGCATGTAGTCATCATTCACACACAGTTAAGCAATAATATGGATTCTCAGATTTTAAAAGCACACTCTATTCATCAAGATAAATGAAGGCCATCGGGCATGAGCTAATGTATATGAAAGATCCACCTTTTTACTGCAATCCACTCATGTAATCACTGCAGATCACAAACTTATAAAAAGGAGGCAGTCTGCACATTAGTTAGCTACAGTAAAGAGCACATCTGGCTTATTTTTTCTGCATACGTTTTTCACCTTTTGTTTTATGCTTGCTTCATCTCAGTGCGGCTGATCTTCTGTAGCCTCTTTGCAAACATTCTAGGGCTACGTGCACTCACGGCAGAATTGGCTGCTTGTTATTACCTTGGACCATCTTTCTGATGGGAACAATGATGGACCATGCCTGTGCAATATGCTTTGGCATGGCTCTCCTTGTGTGCAACAGGAACACAATCAGGAGACAGTTGTTGCCCATTAGCAGAAATGGCTTGAATAAGAGCCTATGTGGCAGGATCACCCAGTATTATTTTAACGAAAGCTGAAAATGTTAAAACATTGAAACATCTTTTTAAATTACATTTACATGTTAACGGATATGATATTTTTAGCGCCGCAGCTAACTATTTCCAAAATCGATTAGACGATTATTACGTTCGATTAAGACAAGGATTGGCTGCAATTGAGCCTGGGTTTTTATTCAAGGTGCCACAAAATACATACAGCTACAGGTGTGAAGTATAAATATAAAACCTTCTTTATTTCTTGTAACAAGCTAAAAACATATTAAGACACATATAAAAGGCCATATCAAATAGTCGATGCACAGTAGATATGCGATGAGCAACCATATACATATCTAATACCCCCATTCAAAAAATAGGGTATGTGGCAGGTTATTCTGAGGTTGACGCATTTCGCATCTAGTGGCTTCTTCAGGAACCTCATGTACGTATCATGTATTATCTCCATTTTTTAACCCCTTCATGACTGAGGCCTTTTTTTCATTTTTTGCACCCATGTTATATTCCACATTTTAGGCCTGAAAATTACTTAAAACCCCCCAACATTATATATTTTATGGTCAGTCACGAAGGGGTTAAAACACTTTTTGCATATATCAAAGAGACAAATCCAGATACAGAGGATTATTGTTTGATTCTCCATTACCCTCATTGGAAGCCGTCTATGGAGATAAACCTCTCTCCCCCTTCCTACTTCCTTCCGCAGTAACGACCCAGCTCGCCCGCCTCCCCGGGAGATCTTCATTCTCTCCTGCTTCCTCCTCCCTTCTTTTCCCTGTGTTTGGAACCCATTTCCTGGCCATGTTTTGGAGCCACAGCAGTTTTGGGGTAATATACAGTTGTGTGAAAAAGTGTTGGCCCCCTTCCTGATTTTTCATTGTTTTGCACGTTTTGTCACACTTTAATGTTTCAGATCAAAACAAATTTTAATATTAGTCAAAGATAACACAAGTAAAGTAAACACAACATGCAGTTTTTAAAGGAAGGTTTTTATTAAGGGAACACAAAATCCAAATCCACATGCCGTGTGTAAAAAAGTGTTTGCCGCCTGCCCCCCAATGGAACAGTGGTGAACCTTCCCAGGAGTGGGCGGCCAACCGAAATTACCCCAAGAGCGCAGCGACGACTCATCCAAGAGGTCACAAAAGACCCCACAACAACATCCAAAGAACTGCAGGCCTCACTTGCCACAGTTCAGGTCAGTGTTCATGACTCCATAAGAGACTGGGCAAAAATGGCTGGCATAGCAGAGTTCCAAGACGAACACCGCTGCTGAGCATAACATAAAAAGAGCAAAGAACATAAAATCTCGTCTCTGTTATGCCAGAAAACATCTTGATGATCCCCAAGACTTTTGGGAAAATACTCTGTGGACTGACGAGACAAAAGTTGAACTTTTTGGAAGGTGTGTGTCCCATTACATCTGGCGTAAGAGTAACACCGCATTTCAGAAAAAGAACATCATACCAACAGTAAAATATGGTGGTGGTAGTGTGATGGTCTGGGGCTGTTTTGCTGCTTCAGGACCTGGAAGACTTGCTGTGATAAATGGAACCATGAATTCTGCTGTCTACCAAAAAATCCTGAAGGATAATGTGCGGCCATCTGTTCGTGACCTCAAGCTGAAGCGAACTTGGGTTCTGCAGCAGGACAATGATCCAAAACACACCAGCAAGTCCACCTCTAAATGGCTGAAGAAAAACAAAATGAAGACTTGAGTGGAGTAGTCAAAGTCCTGACCCGAATCCTATTGAGATGCTGTGGCATGACCTTAAAAAGGCGGTTCATGCTCGAAAAACTTCCAATGTGGCTGAATTACAACAATTCTGCAAAGATGAGTGGACCAAAATTCCTGCACAGTGCTGTAACAGACTTATAGCAAGTTATCGCACATGCTTGATTGCAGTTCTTGCTGCCAAGGGTGGCCCAACCAGTTATTAGGTTTAGGGGGCAAACACTTTTTCACACAGGGCCATGTGGGTTTGTATTTTGTTTTCCCTTAATAAAAACCTTGCTTTAAAAAAACTGCATGTTGTGTTTACTTGTGTTATCTTTGACTAATATTTAAATTTGTTTGATGATCTGAAACATTAAAGTGTGACAAACGTGCAAAACAATGAAAAATCATGAAGGGGGCCAACACTTTTTCACACAACTGTATATATTTTATCTTTATTATGTACTAGATGACACTGCACATCCTTTGCTATATTGTGTAAACGTATTGCTTTTATATATCAAGTACTATATATGCACTGTATCTCGAGCTGTCTCTTAGGGAGCAAGCTTGGAGCGGAAGTGTCGTGTGCAATATAGTACATTACAGGCAGTCCCCGGGTTACATACAAGATAGGGACTTTAGGTTCGTACTCAAGTTGAATTTGTATGCAAGTCGGAACAGGTAAATTTTTTTAAGTGTAACTCCAGCCAAAAAAATATTTTTTCGTTTTGGATAGCATAGGGAAGGGTCACGGTTCTTTTGCTGTCTGTTCCTGTTGTTCAGAAAATTATAATAAAAACATTTTTAATTTTATAAACTTTATTTTTTATTATTTGTTTGCATTTTTAATTTTTATTTATTTAACTTTTTGTTACATTTTTTTTGTCCTTTTAATTAAATGTTTTATTTTTTTAAACTTTTTATTTTTTGTATTTTAATGCTGGGAGCCATAGCCAGCCTGCTATTGGATATTTCAAATTGCAATAGCCAATAGCAGGCTGGCTATTGCATCTGCCCACTGCCTGCTGTCAATCAGCAGAGGAGGAGCCTGAAGCAGAAAGTTCTCTATCAGGTCCCCCCATGCTGATGGACAGCAGACAGTGGGCGGGTGCAATAGCCAGCTTGCTATTGGCTATTGCATTTTAAAAAACCAATAGCAGGCTGGGTATGGCTCCCAGCCTGCAATGAAGAGTAGGCAGGGGGGCGGGGCAGAGGAGCCGCGGCCGGACCAGGAGACCGGAGGATCGTCCGAACCGGGGAAGCCAACGGAACGGCTGAAGAGGAAGCGGGCACATCTGCAGGAGGAGGAAGCCGTGGGGCATCGGCGGTATGCAGAGGTCTGTGTCCCCGCTGCTCCACCAACACAGGCGCGGAGAGCAGCGGGGATTTGAAAGGACGCAGGCCCTGCAGCCACAGTTCTCCTAAATGTACCGGCGGCTGTGATATTAATTCAAGCTGTGAACAAACTTTAAGGAAGAAGGGGCTCTGTAGTGGCCCCAGGAGGATTGGAGGGCCACCACAGAGCCCCTTCTTCCTTCTCAAAGTTTGTTCACAGCTTGAATTAATATCACGGTTTAAATTTAAGTTTTCGGTGTTGTTTTACTACATCGCTAGCCAGAGGTTCTAATTTGTTCTGGCACTAATTCTGAAGGTTCCAGTGTCGATTTTTATTATGTTTGTGTGTTGAACCTTCTAGTCATATGTAAATAATCCACTTGCATGAAATTTTTTCACACGGATTGTCGTAATTTTACACAGATTTGTTTATTAACACTTTAGTGTGTAGTTGGTTCACATAAACCGAGCGCAACATATTTGCTTTACATTTATTCACCTATACACATTGTTGCGGCTGGTCCAATCAGGTAGTTAGGCACGCATTCACAGCGCAGTCATTTCTGTGATATACAGTGTCCAACAGTAGTCAGCAAGCATTGACGGATTCCAGTTGCCCTAATATCGGTTTTCCATTGTAGCAATGTCCTGGTGAAACCTTTCAGATCTCCACAGATATTCCAGTTATACTTGCTGTACTGGATGTGCTTCAGCAACATTTTCATGTTCTCGTAGGTTTCTTTCATGTGTGCTGCATAACCAACAGGTATTGAAGTGTGGACATTGCCATTGTGTAACAGAACAACTTTGAGGCTTAACATTGACGACTCAATAAAGAGACGCCACTCTTGCTGGTCATGGTCACAACCCAAAGCAAAGAACAATCCTTCGATGTCAACACAGATACAGAGAGTATCAACTTGTGGAAAGAATTTGGTTATATCATCTTGGCGGCTTTGAAAAATAGAAATTTTCGTACCTGGTGACAGCAAACACCATTCCTGCAGTCTCGAACCCAGAAATTCGGCTTTTGCTTTTGACAGACCCAAATCTCTGACCAAATCTTTTAATTCTGACTGTGTTATGAGATGTGGATCGCCTGAGGAGCACGGTTCAAAATCCAGATCAATGTCACTGCCAGTTCCCTGCATTGCAGTTTCTTCATCTAGTTCATCTAAGGTCCATTCGTCTGGTGGTTTCGGAATTGGAAGACTGTCGTCATGTGGCACCGGTCTCATTGCTGAAGGCAGATTAGGGTTTTCAATTGACTTCCGTTTTTGGCAGAGAAACCAGACAC